CCCCAAAACCCCAAAACCCCAAAACCCCAAAACCCCACCATAATAAATTGATAAAAATTAGACTTAACTAAAAATAAAATAAAAATTTAATTGACACTTTTAGTATCTATATCATACCATTTTTATTTTAAGTCAATTTTTAAGTATTCTCTCTAAAAATACTATATCGTCATTAATAACTTCTTCATAGACTTGACCATTGTACAAGAATACATGCTCGCTAAAGTAGGATCTAATTTCAACTTTACTTTTTGGAGTTTTTACTTAGGAAATCCAAATCAAAGCATCAGAATTGTCGACAGCTGAGTCTATGCTTGCGAAAGCACATGAGATGGGAATGTCTGTTTCTTTGCTAAAATCTTGAATGTCTTATGGAATATTCATGAATTGCTATTGGGTCTTAGCTTGCCATGGTCCAAGGAAACTAACAGGATCGGCATGAGGGACAGCAAGAAACATGTAATTTTCATTAGGCGGTAGTGATTTTGTAGGAGTGACTAGCTTTGTTGGTTCGAATTAACTTATCTCATCAAGCCACTTCAAGTAATCTGGCAACTTCAGCTTCCTCCCGAATGCAGGAGCATGCCATAAGAAGGCTTAGAATAGGTCAGAGTTTTATCGATCCTTGTGTATTTTCTAGCATCTAATTGATACTTTTGAACCCATACTGTAACCGAATGCAAAAAATGGAATGGTTTTTTCTGGATGCTGTTCTTAATAAAGCTTTCTGCACGCAATTGTAAATTAATAGCCATCTTCACAATAATTGTCAAAAGAGTTAATGGCTCCTCTTTCACCTTCACTTTTTCCAAATCCCAAGCTATCGTAGCCTACACAGTCATACCCGTTTTCAGCAAAGACCTTGGCCATATAGATATATCTTTGAATGTGAGAACCAAGCCCATGAAAGAATACAATAATGCCCTTAGGTGGTTTGCCTAAGTACTTTTCATCTCTGATTTATTGATAGGTTTTCAACTTGCTTTTCTAATCATGAACTGAAACTAGTTTAATGAAATCTTTGGATGTCCATTCTTAAGCGTAAAAATTTAGATTCTTCGACTTCTCTTACTTTAATGATTCCTCCATTTATTATTCTGTTAAAGTGGTCTTTTTATTTGCCTTATAATTAATTGCTTGGTTTAAAGTCCATAATCACTTAAATAATAAAAAAAGTGAATAATTCTATCTGATCAAAATAATTACTTCAGAAAGAATTCTTATTATCCATTCTATTGAATTTCAACAATATATTTAGAAGTGTGGGGTTTTGGGGTTTTGGGGTTTTGGGG